ACTCAGCCTAAACAAACACGAGCGAGCTAAGTGGCAGACAGCTGAAGGCGAAAGTTCCGCACACATTAAGCTGCACGGCTGAAAGCTTGAGCCAACGCCAAGCGAACGCGAAGCGTTCAAAGCACCCACGTGTGTTGATGTGTCGCATGGTCAACTCCTAAGCTTGCGACCTACACAATATCACCTGGAGCACAGCGCTCGTCACCCTTGCCTGGGCGGTTGTCGACTGTCGGGATATCCGAAGCCCCTTTCTTTGTTTCTGATGTCAACTGGTCGTCTGAGTTTGCCGGCCAGGGGCTGAATCGAGAACCTGCCGCTCGTGGGCAGGTGCCACGTGCCAAGCTTCAATATCAATTGCACACTCATCCAAGTCCTGAGGCCATCCGCATCGTTGTGAAGTCGTTGGCTATGCCGCCGCCGCCATCCCGTTTGAGCGTCTGCATTCCTGGCAACAGCAAGAACCGAGAAGAACGGCGAAAAGCACCTTGCGAGAGACATGTCTTTGCATAGTCCCACGAGCGAAGGCAGCGAAGGCTAAGGAATACCAGAGCTGAAGCCCTCGACGAACACAAAGTAACACGATTCGAGAGAAGCAAGACTCGACCCTGCAGGGTCACCCCTTCTCTCTTTTGTCCTGGTCATGGAATGCTTGAAGGATACGCGCGAAATGGCAAATGACTCGGAGTTCGAGGTACAGCTGTTTCCGGGAAGCCAATGGTTCATTCCATGTCGCAACGCCAGCATACCAAAGTCATCAAAAGTCATCTTGCCACTTGTGCAGCGCGCTATCTACACAAACGGCTGAAGGCATGGTCTTGAGATAATTCTTTGGCGAGCAACCGTACAACTATGTCAAGCTGTCATCTACGTTTTGTAGAAATGAGCAACTCGTGAGCTCCGTGAGCGGCTCTTGAAGCCCCACAGTGGCCCCCTAAACTTCCTAAACCTCGTCAGCCGCTTTGCGCCGTCACGTCATGTCACCTCGATGCTCCCTCGATGGCTGAGCCCAGCCGAACACCAAGCTGCTTGCACAGGACGGAGCGGGACATAGAAGTGGGCGCCTCAGGTTCTACAAATTTCCACAATTTCACCATGGTTCACCTGCACTCCTGCAACACCCTGTGCTGAGTTGAAACGTCGACTGCTGTGAAATGCTAGGAGTTTTGCAGCGCCCCAACCTCCTCGTTGCGATCACTGGTGCAACACTTTCAGCATCCTCGAACGCCTCCTGACAATCCGGCTTTGAGAATCAGATTGACCAGATTTGATCAGGAATCCGTAGGGCCTGGATGGATCTAGAATTGTATATACACACACATATATATATATATATGTAGGTTGAGGGCAGACTGGTGCGACAATGCCTTGTCACTCGAATACCTAAAGAAGTCCTAAAGACATACCGAGTGGATTACTGGCAGAACAGCTTTCTTTTGTCACGCAGGGCCTGGTTGCTTGGTCTGCCATCTGATTGCAGGTCCGTCGGGCCCGTCGGCAAACTCGAGAAATGATTGTGGAAACAATGCTTGTGGAAGGTGTGCTTGCACTGCATGACCACAACGAAAAACCCAGTTTTGATCTCTCCATTGCACAAATCGCAACAAACAGTGGAGAAACCAACGTCTCGCAAACTTGCGTTGACGCATTGCTGGTGGCTGGCCAAGTACAAACGATCACACTCGTTCACCACTTCCATCGCAACCCGCGTGGCCCCATCACTGCCTAAGGTGCAGCAAATACTAGGTATGCTTGGGGAGTTCTTGCTTTGCAACGGTACGGCTTTAGATTTTGCTGAATATTGCTGAATCAAATTGACACAATCGAGATGTAACAGCTTCGTGACTTCTGTCTGGCATAGCTGCGAGCAAGTCAGAATGCAGCTGAAAGCAAGAATTCAATAAGCTGTGTATTTCCACATGCTGTAATACTGCAAGAGGCTGCGAGAGGCCCGCTCATGCTTTCAGTCGTCGTCTGATGCCTAAACCTTAAGCATGACGGCAGCCCTGGCGGGGGTTTGGGGATGACATCAGATCAAACTCATTTAGTCCAATCATCACCCCTTTCTCCAAAGGGCTCCCTTAAAACCCGAGAACAAACCGGTGAAGCTTGACAATTTAAGTTCGATCAAGCCGGCTCGCCCCAACCACAACCGAACCCGAAGCTTGAAGCCAAACCTTAAGCAGCATCAGCCTGTACCGCAGTGCAAATCACCCGCTGCCACCGGCAAGCTGCACGATTTTTAGAAGTGGGCAAATTTCGTTTTGCTGATGTATGGCTGGGCGAACCTTGTGCAATTTTGGAGGTTTGGGGCTTGGCCCCTAGGTCCGTGTACTGGAGTTATCTTGGGGATCTTCCTGCTAGCTGCTCGCGATCGTCTGAAGTAAACGGCACAACCACACGTAGATGATACATGATCTTGAGCCCTACAGGCAAGGCTTGTTTGATTTGGGGCGGCACTCCTGGAATCCGCATTGCTGCGTGGTCAATCAGGCGAAAGCCGTGATCTCCAAGCAAAAGGACGAGTCGCTTCCACACATGCGTGCACGCGCACGCACGCGCACGCGCGCACAAGTGACTGTTGTTATCTCTAAAATGGTACTGATTGCAAAACGGCAAAAGAAACAACAGCGAATTCATTTCGTCAAAACGGTTTCTCACTCATGTTAAAAAGGTTCCTATTAATTTTCATAAGATTCCTATTAGTTTCAACAGTGCTCCTATTATTTTGAATCCTGTTCCCTATTCATGTCAATTAGACTCCAATTAATTTTTGCAATACTTAATTCTTTTAATAGCAATCCTATTAACTGAAAATTTTAATAGGGTTCATAACAGTACGACTCTTATTGTTTTAAAGGGTTCACATTGCGTTTTTATAGAATTTTATTCGTTCCTCTTAATCTTAATAGGATTCATCTTCATTTTAAAACGGATTCCTGTTACGCTTGAAAGAATTCATAGAGTTTTTTGTAGGGTTCCTATGAATTTAAAAACCTTGCCTGTGAAATCAAAAGGGCACCATTTCATTTCAATGGGCTCCCTATGATTCCTCTGAATTTAAGACTCCAAGAAACTTTAATAGGAGACCTATTCATTTAATGAGCTTCTACATATTTAACCAGATTCCTATTCATTCTACCAGAATTCTTACTTAGTTTTTAAAAAAACATTCGTATTAATTTCAATAGGGTTCTCATTCATTTTCATGGGGTTCCTATTGATTTAAATAGGATTCGTATTGAATTCATACGAACCTATGAATCCTATTAAATTTAATAGGAACCCAAGTAAGACTAATAGGAGTCTTATTAAAAATCATAGCAATCCACGATCTCGAGCAAATTGTTCAGGTCACTTGTGTTGGAGCACTCACTCGAGCGATTGCTGAGTGGATCAAATTATGTGAATTGCTGTAAGCTTTTTTGGAATCAACGAAGTCAACAAATGTAATTAAATCAATTACATTAGACAAACTAGAGCAATTTAGTAAAAGATTTAATGAATTAATTAAGAACACCCTACCATGACCAAACTGGGAGGCCGATCTGTCGGACTTCAGGGCAGAGCATATGGAAACGTAGGTTTTTGGGGCGCGGGGGTACCAAAAAATTCTCTGCTGCCCTCATGATTTGCCAGGACGTCTTGACGCAGAATGGCTGCAGCGAGCTCTTGCGATAGCTCCGTGGTCTACATGACTCACATGACTCAGTGACGTACCCATTGTGCAGTTGCAACTTTTCTTGCGGCACGGATCTGTGTCACCTGTTGAACTGAAGTGGATTTCACGGCTTTGTCAGAAACCACCTGAATTCGGACAGGTGGCACGGTGCACGCTCGAATCATCTAATCATAATCGGTGTTCACTCAGATGGGTACTGTAGCTACTGGTTGCTCCTAGTAAGTCTTGCTTCTTGAAGGCTTCTTGGGGAAGGGAAAGGACGTCGAAGGTTTTGTTGGTGTTATTCAAGTTTGCTGCAATTTGGGGTTTCGATTTGAGTTCCGGATCTGAGACATCTGAGTCTGAGGAATCCTCCCAAAGCGCCCGACGACCAAACCAAAGCCACCAAACATCCACAACACTAAGCACCTGCCTTAGTTTTGGCCGCGCTGCCGTTTTTCTGGTTGTTCCAAAATGGTTCTTCACGAGCCGCATGCTGTGAAAAGATGAAAGAAACCAAAAACAGAACGAAGGCTGTGAAAGGGGAAATCGGCACACAGGTGCGGCACATGTGCAGGAAATTGCAGCAGCTTTGGCGCCATGCAACAAATACCAAGCATAACGGCAGACATCGGCAGACAGCACTGCCAAACACGGAACATGCCTACGACTTTCCCAGCCACGTACGTGCGGTCCTGCCCGTGTTCACGTGCCACCTGTCCAGAAAACAACGTCTTTGTCGGGCGAGCTTAGTCGGCTGAGCTTCATGCTTGAAACCAGGTACCCATGGCCACGGAATGATTTTGCCATACAAAGTGGTATAGCTGAGATGTAGCGGACAAATGTGGAGAAGGCATCTGGAGTGAAACTCTGCTGAGGAACTCCTTCAGCTGCTGCAAGATGCCGACGTGCTTCGCAGATCTTCGCAGTATTGCCGACGTTCAGGGTGTCTCAAGACTTCAGGGTTACACGATTTACAAAGCTCCGGGCCCCTAACAACCAACAAGCAGCAACAAGCACATTCGCATTGCACACGCTGGCGCATGCTGACGCTGACTCTCTTTCAGAGAAGGTGGCGCCATGTGGCGCCGCAACTTGCGCAAGGAGTCCAAGGGCACAAAAGCTTCAGGTGGCCGTGCCTCGCTGCATTCGCTGCGTTCGCTGCATTCGCTGCAAAACATCGACAGCTTGCTGGAAGCTTGCACTGCAGCTTCTGCAAGTGCAACAGGAGTGCAGCCTGTGTACTCTTTCATGTGTTGGCAGGGCCTCCCTGCCCTGGCCAATGTACGAACGAATACATGACAATTACACATATATCCCCACCTTGGCCCAAAGCGCCACACTATGTTATTCTGGCTGACTCAGAGGACATCGCGCAGCTCGCCTTGACAAGCACATCTCCACAAACTTCCATTCGGAACAGGCCTCTTTGCCTTTCGGAGTGCACATCACGAACCAGCGAACCAGCCGCACTTCGGCTGAGCTTGGGACTGCAACCGAGCTCTTGCAAACGCATCCAAGCCTTGCGCGACTAAAATCCGTCTCGTTCTGTCTACAAAGGACAGCGCCATCAAATTCAACCCTATGCACCCAGCCAGCTCTCCAGCTGCTTGTTTTGTCTCGTTGTCTAAGGTTCTGCGGCGTATGCTCACACACAATTTGCTATGATGTGTTATGGCATATGCAATGTGCAACCAACTGCAAAATGTTGCTGTCATCTGAACGTTACGACGCCTTGCTGTTGCTGCCTCTTCATGACTGGGTGGCACCTTGTCGAACTCCGAAAACCAAGACTTTTGGTCATCGGCGAACTGGATGACCTTTGTCCAAGTGGACATTCAGCAAAAGTGACGGCCGCCCTCGCAGCATGAGAATTCAGGGTCGGACATACCTTTTGAAGTCGGGATCATTGACCAGCGCCATGTCCTGTAACGTGCCAGGCAAAGTAGGAGGCGAACGAGCCCCAGCCCGAACCAGAAAAACAAAATAGCGACTAGTCGATGAAAAGTGCCGTGTCTTGGAAGGGCGGGGATGATGCAACTTGGGTTTGCAGAGGCAAAGTGAAGTCAAATATACAGGTGGAAGTCAGGATGGAAGTGCAGAACACTGGAATTTCCCTGACGATTTTCTTTCAAAGCATTTTGCTTTCCAGGAAAAAGTCCACTTACATGCCGTGTCGTGATGCTCAAGGCGACCTCACAACGAACAGCCGAAGAACCCAGCGGTAGCAAAAGAAAAAGCTCAGACATTGCGCGGCAGAAGCTTCGCATGGTCTAAACCGGATGCTGAGACGATCGCCGTTGTCAGCATCATGGTCTTGGACTCTGCACACCTGAAAACCAAATAAAATTGAAGGCGGGCGTGACCTACTCTGGGGTGGTAACCTTTTAGGGAATAGGGTTTCTTTAGGGTCAACCCTATTCCCTGAAAGGTTGCCACCCGAGAGGTCACGCCCGGCAAATCAAATAAGAGCCCAATTCTGCGACCTTCACGCCATCTTCTGACTAATTTGCAAGCGACAGTAACTACTAGTTACTAGTAGCTCACATATCTTGCGTCTGTGGCCAAGATGCCGGAACTGTGGGTTCCCTCTACTTGTGGTCTCGGACGACCAACTTCTGTGCAGCAAGTCCTGCTGCAAGTGCCACACGCGGATTAGCCAGCAATGGCGCATGAGAGACACGTCAAGTCTCTTGGCCGACAGCACAGGCCTTGAAGTACGTATTGTCAAACTTAAGCTTGTCCTAAGGTACGACGCGTGAGAACGGTGTGCACTCTGAGATTCAGTGATCCGAGGAGCCGAGGGCCAAGCTGCTGTCCAAGCTCCGTCGAAACCAGAGCGGTCCAAGTGACAGCTCCTTGTCAGGCCATGCGACCATATGCCGTCTGCAGTGGCATCTGCAGTCAGCTTCTGCATGCTTCAGCCCACCCGACGGTGTGAGCGCCGGAAAGAGCAACGATCGCTTTGTCATCGAAGCCCTGCGCACAGAAAGGTCGCCAACACAAGGCTTCAACATGCCGCTTATAAAAAAGCGAGGCTGGGTGAGTACAAGCCACAAACCAGCCTTGGGATAGAATATGTCCCTAAGATGCCTTGCATCTTTGTCTCCGTCCTGAAATCGGCACCCGAACACACGCGCGCACACACACACACACACACCCAGAGACACAGACACAGACAACATACACACCGACACGCAGACACGCACACGCGCACATGCATGCTTGCACGCACGCAAGCACGCGCGCATTCTCACGCGCTCGCACGCACGCTGCGTTGAGAGCGGGTCCGTTTTGTGTACTGGATTCACTCCGTTCTCTGCGTTCACACACTGAATGCTTTTACTGAAAGTGAAGAGAGCAGGGTGAATGAGATTAATAGAGTAGCGAAGTGAATGCAATAATCTTATAAGTGTGTGAAGAAAACCAATGAACTAATTTACAAACGAAGCGAAAGAAGTGAATCAAATGCGTGAAATGAGTGAGTGAATTTGCGGCCCGGTGAGCAAAACCAAGTGTCGAGAGAAATGAGGGCGCCTGCGAACAAGACTATGAAAGTCACACGCACCCTCGCATGCACCACATCATAGGCCATGGCATGGAGACACCGTGCATCACCTGTTGCAAGAGTACTCATACAAGCAAGGTGAACAGTGCGAGACTTACGTGTCTGCATGGTCTGAAGGTCACGCTGGAAGCTTCGAAGTTCTGAATTGACCGTTTTTGAGCCACAGCTGTCCGGAAGCCGCCCCGCCGCTGTGGACACGCCCTCGTTGAGGTGACCCGCCTCAGAGAGCCAGGCTGCTTCCAAACACCCAGACCTTGCTCTCCAGAGATACCGCTCTTGAGCAACTTAAGGTGCACAAAGTGTCCAGCGTCTAAGCGTCCAAAGCGTGTGGTGATCTCTGGACCTCCCATGACCTTGGCAACTTGTGACGATACGATTTGCAGGCACCTTGACTAGATCAGAGCGACTCGTAGCATGATGAAGCACGTCACGCTTGTTTGAGCGATCCTCTGCTGAAGACGTTTGCAACTTCGCTTGCACACTGCATCCCGGCGGCATCCCATAGGAAGGAAAAGGGAACTTACAAGGGCTTGTGGTCGCTGGGCACTGCGCCTTGATGGCCACGTTGGCAGCTAGAGCCCAAAGATCTGCATGAGAGATCAGTCGAGGTACATACCTGAAACCAGGCCGACATTATAAAACTACCCTGCTGACAGGGGCACCGTGAATCAAGTTGGCTCCATTTACACGACACACTACGAACAGCGCACTTCACGGCCACAGTCTCTAGCAAAGGAAGTGCAATCTGTGGCCTGAGCACATGGCAACGTGATGGCGGTGATTGCTGGTGCAGCATGTGCAACAAGGAGAGCTCTGTTCTTCAAGAAAGCATTGAGAAGGGTTTTCGGCGATTTTGCTCTCCTTGTTTTGGGAGCGGGAAACTTCGATGTGGTAGGCGAGGTCCGCGATTCCAGATCAATATTAGCCATCATTGCGTTTTCAGCTCGGAGACCTCTCAAAAACCATGAATCTGCACGCTGTTTGCTAAGGTTTCCTATGCCTGCTGTGCTGCAAACCTCACTATGTACGACACTTTTCCGTGCGAGTGGCCAGAGCAACCAGAGCATCCATGCCCGCACCATGATTGCGCCCAATGAGTGCGAATATCCGAAGCATCCATGCCGGCACGATGATAATACGTCCATGTCACCAGCACGTGTGAATCTATGTTGGCCGTGCTGTTTCTTTATTTCGAACTATTTGTAACTATTTGTAACTATTTGTAACTATTTGTAACTATTTGCAACTATTTATAACTATTTCTACCTACTTAAACCCATTTGCAACTAACAATCTGTAAATGCAGATATAAATCGGGACATGAAATTAGCTTGTTTTTTGAAGCTGGACAACATACTTTATAATCCATTCAACTCTAATCTATAAGTGCTTTTTCGAGTGTGTCTTGGTGTCTGTTTAGTTGCAACAATCTTACTGCTGACCGGTTCTGCTTTATAAACTCTGTGAATGTAAATCGATACTGCGCGCTTTGCCGAGGTTCTTGCAGGTTTAATCTCGAGGCCGCCACTATCGTCATACGACATGACATTTATCTGAGTTTATGAATTGGGGGCTGGCTGAAATCTGACCAGTGAAGTGTGGAATTCAGACAACCTGGCATGCCGTGGCTTGGCCCGAGTTCCCACTAGTCACGAGTCTTGAGTCTTGAGCCTGATAATGCGCAGGTTACATCTCAAGCGGGGCGGGGGGGAGGCGTGCTGGAGCCCAAAACCAGAGGCAAAAACAGGGGTCCAAAAGATAGGCGGGGGCGGGGGGGGGGGGGGGGGGGTTGTGCCAACACCACTCTAGAGGGGGAAAGGAGGGGGCGGAAGGGAGGGGGAGGGGGGGGGTGAAAGGAGGGGGGGGGGAAGGAGGGGTGGAAAGGAGGGGGGGGGGAAGAGGGGGGGGGGAAAGGAGGGGGGGAAATTGGTGAGAGTGGCGTGGGCGGTAGGCGGAACAAATGCTTCCGACCTCCAAGCAGGGGGCCAGCGGAAATAACCTGAACTCTAAACCTTTATAAGTCTGTATAACGTCGTGTGATCTAGGCTCAGGATGAAATGCCTCACTCTATTCGGGTGGTGGTGGAGCGCTTCTTGGGCAGATTCATTCGACGCTTTAATTCCGGAGTGGCCAAGCATGTCACACACGAAATATACTAGTGTTTGTCTGCCATATTAGCCTGTGAAGTTAAGGACTGAACTGCAGAGCATACCTTTGCTTTGAAGAAGAAGGTTTCCTTGGAGTTCTCAAGCCTGGGGCGATGAAAATGCTTGTCAGCACCCCTAAGAAATTCGAGCATACAGTTCTTCATCGTTATCTGCTGAGAACGAACTTGCAAAAATGCGTGCTGATCAGTTGCAAGCTCGGCCAAAAAAGCACAAAGCGAAGAGAGCAGCTCGAAATCCGGTTTTAATTCTCACCACACTTGCTCTGCTGAAGAGTGGATAAACTAGTGCCCCTACATCCTGAAACGCGCAGGGCTTGGAATCAAGCAATCCTTTGCTGTGGGCCCTATCGAACGAAAGAAAAAGACAAGAGGAAAAAGCATGACTTAAACATGTTTAAAGGCGCATGCGTTCTTTATCGCCGTTTTATGCTATCTTTAATGTGGGCCAAAAGGCCCGCTAAACAAAGTACAATTATGGGGTCTTTGTCATCCTTCTCTATTGTACCATTATCAACAGGCTGCGTAAAGAGAACAAGGTGAACGCATTCCGAATTTATTCCTTTTAAGGCGTAACCGCTGGAGAGAGAACTTCATGGGAGATGTGGGCCGTCCCTGGGACAAGTTCATTTCCAAAATCTTGTCTCAAAGTTATGGTTGTGGCTACAGTTGTGGGAGGCCAGTTAATAAATGACTATAATAGTGGGGCCCACATTAACCTCGCATAAAGGCCTCCATATGTGCAAGAACCCTGTAAACCGGCCCTGAACCCTGAAGCCCTGCATAGCCAGAAAATCGGCCCCTGCATAATTTCAATCGTGTCGGGGCCCTTCATCCCTCAAGCCTTCAACTCCTGCTGGGCATGTTCGGGCTCTGGGGGAAGCAGGGCTTCCGTGAGCTTCTCGCTTATGCGACCCGTAGCTCTTCGCAGCTGGTGCAAAGTTTCTTTGACTTGTTCGACTTGTTATTCTCTAACCACCACGGGCTCCTAAGATCGCTGTCTTTCGTATCCTCTGCAGCCACGTTTTCTCTTAAGAATTGCTGTGGCTTGGTTCTTCAAAATGCTTGAACATCCGTTGACAAGTTCATCGGGTCATTTCTGCTAAGTATCAGCATCGGGCATCAAAAAGCGCATGCCAGCATGAGTGTGAACAGCTGGGATACCAGCAAGCCAGCATTCGCTGCGAGTGCATGCTCGCCTCCACCTTGGCCAACGCAACTAGAGCATCTTTGTCGTGACATGCGTCGGAATTTGGAAGCACCCGACCAGAATGGAAAGACTCAGCCAACCACCGGGCAAACGCAATGCGGCGTTCGGGCATCCATCTGCGCCTGTGCAGGGCACGTGTTCAACGTGTTCAAGCCTGTTCGAAAGGCAAACAGCATCACAGTAAAAGCCTTTTGGTCTGCAGTAATTCAAGCACTTCAAAATCTTCAAGCTCTTCAAGCTCTAGTGACCCTCGTGTGCTGTTGCCGGACATGGCCGGGCTACGCAGTAGGATTCTTACTGTGCCGGCAGCAGAAAGATACCAGTAACACCTGAAATGTATGCGCAACACGTGTGCTCATATGGTTCCCTAAGGCATGGAAAGTGTCCGGGTGAGGCGCCGTTGTAGATGCCGGCATCGTGCCACGACAGCCGCACCCTCAGCCAACCAGGCTTTCACTGGCACAGGCTACGGCTGAAGTCTAAACAAAAAAATGTGCTACCTGTAGATCCCTCTGCCGCCCATCAGTTCAAGTTCAACACGTGAATTACACACCGGATAACCGCACATGTTCTATTCTCTTTCTGGCTCCTTTCGCGTACTCAGAATCTGACCGTGCGACGCAAGCACCACGATGACCAACACCAAACAAACCATTTTGTTAGTTTCGGGCCTCTCTGAAAGCATCTGTCGGGGGTCTTGCGGTTTGGTTGCGAGCGTTTCATTTCAAGCCGCGCCCAGCTGATGCTCATGATGGGTTTTTGGGGGTGGCCTTTGTCGTCGTTCCCAGCGAGGCTTCAGGCCACGGATTTTCCCCCACTAACAGCTCCCCTAGAGAACAGGTCGTCGAGTCATGACAGCTCCAGGTCGTCTATCTGTATCTATCTGTATACCCATCTACATGCTTGTATATGCGTGGCAGTGTGTCAATGTGTAGTGTAGACATACATGTCATGTGTCATGGCTGGGGATGACATGCATATCATGGGACATAAGTACATGTCACGTGGGGCAGGTGCGGGCACAGGCTGGCAGGCAGGCGGAGTGGCAAGTTCAGCTAAGAAAAACAAGAACCCCACATGATGATGTGGGGAACAACGCAATCCAAGCTCATGCGAGGGCCAATATGAGCCGAAAAGGCTCTAGAAGACAAGTTCTTCAGCAACAGAAGTAAACGATACTCGCGTGCTGGGGAGGAAGAGGTGACTCGAACAATGGAAATAGCATTGGCATGGGCCAATGCATTGGCACACATGACAGTGCGGGCAAACACGAAGCCACGGTCCCGGCACTTCAATGTCTTGAAGCCCTGTCAGATCCGATACATCGGTTGCTCGTCATCTACACAGGCCTTTTGACGCTTCTCGGGTAGAAGGAGTACCCTGGGAGTCTGTCCGGTACATTCTTCGGTCACTCGTAAGCGAGAACGAGTGTGGGATGGACCACGACTTTGCATGATGCGGGTTTGCCCAGAAATGGGCCGCTCGTACATTCCGCACTGTAGATGCCAATACAAACCCATTCCGCACCAAACATGTGCAGCATCTTTCCAGACTTTCTGCCACGTTGTGGCGTGCGCCATCCGGGATTTGCAGCTGCGGAAAGTACGCGGACAAGTTTTTGTGCTGACAGTGTTAAGCTACTTGCGCAATGTTCGCGGCCTTCTCCTCCCTCAGGCTCAACATCTTCAAAAATGACCGGCATGCTCGGCCAGACTTTTGGGGGCCTTGATCCTTGTGCGTATATGTCCATGCACCCATCTTGTCGCGACAGACCGGACGAGATGCACATCGCCAGGACACAAGGGGGTTGCGTCGAAACCGAAGCACTATGCGTCATTTTCCTGGATCGCCTGGTTCCCAAACCAACCGCTACAAAAACCAGGGGTAGTGTCGCCGACAAACAGTGAATGATAAGATGTTTGAATCACACTCTGAAGCTCTGGTATCTGAGCAACACCTTCCGAGTCAAAAACCAAAGCCACTCAAGTGGGCAAGCTGCCGGATGCTGCAGGGCATACGGCATACGGTTCACAATGCAGTTTGCCCACAAGTTGAAGTAACTACAGCGAATAGAATTGAGAAGCAACGCGCAAATCAAGGCACTATCTACGGCTAATTACGACGAACAGATACGAGTAGCATCATAAGTTTCCGAGACTACAGGCAGAGGTCCGCGCATAATGGGCCCGCACTCCTTCCGCCGGAGAAGCTTTTCCAAATCCTCCACCTGGGATGGCTACAGCAACACCAGAAGAGACCGCGACATCTCCCTAATCCATTCCCTCAGACACATCATGACAGAAGACACATCTCAGAAGCACAGGGAAGCACAGTGCGATGTACAAAATTGTACAAAGAATCAAGAACCCTTAGGCTGACGACCAAGTGCTCGTACGTCAAGCATCGGCACAGCTTCATCCTTGGCGGGGCGGATGCGGCGCAATGCGAACTGTGGAAATGGTCGGGAATGTGGGACGTTCGCAAACGCGCTGAGACGACAGAGAATGCGAACTCGTGGTGGGCACCAGGCTTGAGCGTGTCATCAGCTTTGCATCTCTCGAGCATCTCCACGACATCCCCTGCCAATATGGATCGCTCCATGTACTGTGCCCATATGCATCGGACAGAGCGGCCGCCTGAAACGCCGTTAACCTCCAGAATGCTATCCTCAGCCACACCGACCAAGGCTGTCCAAAGAACGGCTTCCAACGACCCATGCTTCATACAGCCAAGCATCACCACTGTTCAGCTTTTTGTCCGGAAACTGCTTGTTCCATTCCCTGGGAGATAAAGAAGTGCCCCTAGCATTCATGCACTGGCTTGCGCAGAAGAAGGCCCTCGCTCGGCAATGCCACCCGTGACGTGCATGATGGGCAAGATTTTCCGCCTTCAGCCGTTTTGAACCAAAAAAAGACTGCACCTTATATCTAAGTATATGCATTTTGATGGGGAAATGTCGCTGTCACACACCCACCCCCTCCATGTTCCCCCCTCGCCGCCCCATGAACCTCTGTCGCACAAGACGGGGGTTCGGGTTCTAAGTTTAGGGGAGAAAAGCAGCACCCGCAAAAACCACCCACAAAAACCACCCGCAAAAACCACCCGCAAAAACCACCCGCAAAAAGCACTCGCAAAAACCACCCGCAAAAACCACCCGCAAAAACCACCCGCAAAAACCACCCGCAAAAACCACCCGCAAAAACCACCTCCAAAAACCCACCCACAAAAACAAAAAACACACCCACAAAAACCACCTGCAAAACCACCCACAAAACCTACCAGGAAAAACCACCCGAAAAAACCACCCACATAAACCAGCCACAAAAAACCATCCACAACAAACACCTTCAAAAACAACCCACAAAAACCACACACAAAAACCATCCACAAAGACAAGGAAGGCGCTTCTTTCGCCGCCGTGCAAGGGTTGCATGATTTAGAAAAAACGTGGGGCTTTGGCAACACACATGTCCGGGAAAAGTTCGTTTAGTTTCTAATTTTTGTCAAAGAAAACGCCTAAACCGTCAACCCGCAAACCTAAGCCTGCAGTCAAAAAGGGCTCAAGGAGAAAAACAAGGCAAAAAGACATGCCACATCGACAGGAAACTCGCCAAACTTCTTCCACTGCAGGGTTTTGGGGTCCAAGTTTGAAACCGCAACCCCAATTCCAAAACCCGGACTAAATGTCAGGCCTTCCCGGCCTTCAAAAACCCGCAGAAAGAACTGTAAATACCGAGAGTTTTTCTGGAAAAGCCCCGAAAACGCTGTAAATACCGAGGATTCCGAAGCGGCACGCCCCGCCCTGGAAAGAGAAACGGCGAAGAAATGCAAACAATTCGTTTACGGCGCGCGAGAAAAAAACAATCGAAAAGTGTCGAAAGCATTGTAAATACCGAGGTTTCGGGAAACACCCACCCCCCCCGCCCCCCGCCCAAAAACAATGTCAGAAACAGCGTTTTCCGTCAAACACCGACAAAGTGGGCGAACATCTCGAGCACTACGGACCGGACAAACCCAAGACAAAAAAACCACTGTAAATACCGAGGTTTCGGACTGCACGCAACACAAGGGACGTAACCGCTCCCCCCCACCCCCAGCAAGAATGCAGAACTCGACAACCCTTCCACGGCGGCGAAAGAAGCGTGTGCCAAAAACAACCCCCAAAAACCACCCACAAAAAAAACCCACAACTAGCAGCCAGCAGCCAACACCAAACAGCCAACACACAACAGCCAACACCCAACAACCAAACAACCAACAACCAACAACCAAACAACCAGCCAAACGAACGAACAAAACAACAAAACAAACAAAACAAACAAAACAAACAAGAACAAACAAGAACAAACAAAACAAAAAAAAAACAAGCAAAACAAGCATAACAAACAAAACAAACAAAAAGAAACAAAACAAACAAAAACAAGAGAAACAGGCGAAATAAGCGAAACAAGCGAAACAAGCGAAACAAGCAAACCAAGCAAAACAAGCAAAACAAGCAAAACAAGCAAAACAAGCAACACAAGCAAAACAAGCAACACATGCAAAACAAGCAAAACAAGCAAGACAAACAAAACAAACAAAACAAAACAAACAAAACAAAACAAACAAAAACAAGGAAACGCAGACACAAGCATCTGCAATGACATTCCAGAAGTTCTGATGCAGCAATACCAAGTCAAGGCACATGGCAGTCGCCCCACTATAGCCAGGATGATACTATGCGTAGGGCAACCGTACAGCTATGAACGACAGCGTCAAACACCAAGTTACAGTCGCAGTCGCTGACTGGAGATGCGAACAGGGACGGTCTCGGATTGATTCAGTACTGCTGTCTGGGACCGCGGCTCCGCCATGTAATCAACGTCCAAGCCCAGCTTCTGCCCAGGCGACCTTAATGTAGAAGATTGTACTCAAGAAGTCAAAAGCAAGTTGGCAGCCATTCGCTGCACCTATAGCGGCATCGTGCAGCGGCCTGACGCAAAGTAAGCTTCAGGCTTCGAGAGCGTCACGTGGTAGACCCGTTCCTCTTCGGATTGCTATGCATTCAATGCGGTTCAACGCTTTTGGTCAATGCTTCCAAGCCTGCTCTGTGTCACCACCAGAGATGAACGGCAAAGCCGGCAAAGCATTTTCCTGCAACTGAAGCCCAACTCTGCAATTTACCTTCTGGACAACAGCCAGAAACAAGATGCCACAAGTGACGCACGCAGGCCAGAATGGGTTTGGCATCGACATGCGCATCTGCAACACCATCGTTAGCTTCGGATTGGCAGCACCTCAGCACTCAGACAAGAGCCGCATCCAACCTTCTCGGACCCTACTCCACAAATTCCAGCAGAGTTCGACACGCTGTGTTGCCCATGGCGTTCCGTGCAAAAATGGAACCTGTCCCAAACACAAGATGCCGGCAGAGCGTTTGAAGCTCTAGCCGCTACAAGAGACACGACACAAAATGACTGGGGGACTGTGCGCCGTGTGCGGTTCCGGGTTTTATTACCCCCGGCCTTGGGCAGGCAGCGGCTTTGCCCGCAAAGCCCGCTCTGATCCCGGCAGAGGCAGTGATCTATGATCTTGTTTGCAGTTTGGAGGGCACGAAACCTCCAGGTAAGCAGTGCAGGACTGGTAAGAGTTACACCACACCAAACAAAGGCTGAAAGCATAAAGACGAGGCAGCCGGCCATGTAATTCATGTTATGAGTGCCCTTCCTCGTCCCCCCTCGCCAACCTTGGCCCTCAGCCTCCTCAAGTTGAAGCATGATGGTAGATGCCCAGGGCACGAACAACCGCTACATACCATGGCCCTGTTCTGCATATCGCCAAGCCTTCTCCAAGGGCTTTCGGTAAATGCAGTGTCTAGCTGTCCCTGGAGACACTCATCGGCAACGGGCCTGATTTTTCGACCTCTGCAACTCCGAACGCCCAATGTGAAACGCCGAGTCGAGTCCGGCAGCGGTAAGGGACCAAAACTACAACAGGCGGTCGCCACGGTCGCAGCACAGTTTGGGGTTTGGAGTTCTGGTGCTCATAACTTTGAGCCTCTTCGCTGAGCAACTTTGTAGAGAATCTGTGGCCAAGCGCGTGCCACTGAAGATGCGGAAATTGTGGTCCTGGAATACCCTGGTCACAGCATCATGCCTTGAGCGCCACTGTCAGGACGATGCTGACCTGCAAAATCGGTGAGCAATCATAATCATTTCGTTAAAGGAGCACTGCTCGCGTCAGCTCGCTCTTCTAAAGGGTTGCGGACAGCCTGATTCTCAGCGACTAGCACATGTGCAATCCCGACCCACGCAACAGGCTAACTTACACCCCGTACCCCAAACTCATTCAGGAGCTTGTCGTTGTCTGCCATGCTGCGGTAAACCAGGGAAGCAATCCAACCACACTGCGTTATGAAGACCATTCGGCGATGCTGATGGACACCCGTAATGTGATTTTGCAATTATTGCTGCTGTCTTCAGCCCCTCGAAATCTTCGCCGAACTATGTTGGCAGCTTCACCTGGTCACGGCGAAAGAGCACCAAACGAGACGAACGGCAAGTCTCTTGCTTTGTGTTAGCTATGCAGCATTGGTTCTGGAAACCGTTGCTGTACCTCAAACTGATACGAATGCCGGTGGGACATGATGGACCTGCTATGAACATTTGCTTGGCAGCAAGTCTTGTCATGAATTGGTGTCGGCTCGTGTCGACCAGCATGTGTGGGGCCCTGTGGGTTCAGAGTGGATTGACCCTTTTCTTGCCAACGGCGAGAGCGATGTGAGACAGTGCAAAGTCGACAACCACAAACAACTCTGGTGAGAGATCTGGTGAGGCGCTGTATCAGATGAACGGCAAGATCTGGAGTCAACACTTCTTGAACTGCCTGCGCCACAACCGGGGACCCTTCACGGGTCCCATGTGAAAGCCTCTTTCAGAAATGCAAGCCTGAGCGAGTGTTCATACTGCAATGCATTGCGTAACGCAATGCAATGAGACAAAGGTCTGGAAGGCAAGCCTTTCAGGTCTCCTTCGCTGGTTCTGTTTAGCGCAGACTGGACTCTTATGAGTTTTCCATGAGCTGATTTCCCTTGGGGGGCTTCAAGCCTCAATCAACGGGATGCAGAATTCGCAAGCCGAAGTCGGAAGATTCGAAGCTCACAATCAATCACTGTCTGTGTAAAAAGAAAGTGCTCAGCGACTTGGCTCTTGAAGGGCACGCATCAGGCTGCCCTGAGTCGGACCCCCGCAGCCGTCCATTGTTTTGTGTGATCGTGCTAGCGAAGTAGGCGATGGATCTTTGCCATCGTTCGATAACGCCCGTACTTTGGCCTCGACATTTTCGGCGCAGCAAGTACCAACCAGTAGCAACAAGAAGCCACGATGCATGGAGGGGGCGGGGGAGTTTTGACGGTTTCTGACAGCTCTGGCTCTCAAAGTATACGACACAACCGGTACATGAAGGCCACTGAAGAACAGGCAGCAACACTGGCATTTGCCATGGAAGGCAAGCCATGCACGCACCACGCATGCACTGCTGGCGCCCAAACTCTGAGCCAAACCGTGTTTGGAGCTGAATCTCTGAGCCGAACCATGTTCTACGCGGCCCGAAAACTACTGAACTATTGACCAACACTGATAACATTTGCCCACAGAAGACTTGAGTCTGCATATACTAATCTCAGAGAAGAGCATATGCAAGCCACGCGAGATGACACGAGGGTCACAGGCATCTGCGTGGTCGAGCACCCGTTGAAACTTGCAAAAGGCAGGCCGTCAGAGGATGTCCCGCAACTGGCCTAAGGGAGCGCGAATGAGTCCACAACGCCCCCGATGGCACAGTCTCGGTCGATAACTCTGCACAAGTCGCAGACCACATCCGAGTTCCTGTAGCTTGACCCATGCCTGGCCAGAAAAGCCGCCTAGACGTAAAACGAGCATCTTTAAAGGGCTCCATCCCACCCAAAAATGGAGCTTCCATTACAGGGGCCCTTTTCCAAACATCCTCCCCAAACAGTCTTTTTTAATTTGGGGTTTGTGACTGCTTCAGGCCACACGGCGGCAACTTCATTTTTTTCGCTGTCTCTCTTGGTTCTCTCTACGAAAACCTCTATCCCCTTGGCATTTTAATAGGATTCCCCCTAGTTTGATTGGATTCTTAAAAAGACTTCTACTGTCTCAATATTTTAATAGGATTCGTAAAAATTTTCCTGGGGTTCTCAAATTTTACTAAGACCCCATTATTTCTGAGCGAACTCTTATTGATTCAATAGGGTTCTTCTTAATTTTAATACATCGGATTCTTTTTACGTTTATGAAAATCCTATCAATTCTGCTCAATGTCTTTTGAGATGTTCATGGATTTCTTATTTTTCATCCGAAATGAAGAAGGCAAGAAAAGCCGGGGGGGGGAGGTGGAGGGGGCGAGGGTGAGCTGCGCCGCTCTCCCCTCCCCAAGTGAGCCTTGGCATGTAGACCTTGTACCCTTTTGGGTTTGCGTCTTGACATATCTTTCGCTCGGTTGCGGCGGTACGGTGCCCTGCTTTGTCTTGAATGTGTGGCATTGATGCTGGGGGTATCGTTGTTCCGAATGCTTTAAAAATAAACGATCTACAGCTAGATTGAACTAGACATCGTTTGCTGGCTGCCGCCCTGTCTAGACAGGATCCATAAACACCATGTGACCGAATGAAACCCTTGGCCCAGCTAGACGGACTCACCTTGCCATATGATTTCGCAAGTAGTCCGTAGCGCCTCTTTGTAATCATCAAAGAAGGCACCCTGGTTGGAGGCATACTTCATGACCTTGCATGTGTCAGAGACCGTCATATCAGTGCATTGCGTGAGGTCCCGCTACTGGGAAACACACGTATTCTTTGAACTTGGGGTCTTCGACAAGAGCCATATCCTTGGCAACTAGCAGCAAACATCAGGCAGCCAGCACACTGTGCTCGGTCTGTGTTCCGAGCGGGCACTTCAGAATCGCTGCATATACAGTACTGATGCAGACGGAAAAATGCTCTCCTGTTTGGGGTTGCGGCAGTTGTCAACATCATCTCCTTACCAGACCTGCAATCTTCCCGTCCATGCAACACGCCTTTTGAAGGTTCGTTGCTGATAGAATACCAGCTGCAAGATGCGAATGCCCTCCTGTACTGCTTGTTTCCTGACTTGACGGTCTCCATCGTCCAGGTCTTGTTTAGCAAGTCCTGCACCGCATCAAGCAACTTGAGACTTGTGGGCCACTGCTGTTTGTGAGAAGCACGTTTCCTGCATCAGCGCAATTCTTCCTTCAACCTACAAGGCAAAAGCAAGCTGATTGTGTGGATTGGCCTGGAAATAGGTGTTGTCGAATTTGAGCTTGTCCTGAAATCCCACAAGATGTCCAAGCTCTGAGTGCAAGAAGCGTTGAGATGTCGAATGTCAGGAAACTTGCTTGAAAGAGCATGTTCACACATGTTGTCTCAGCTCCCCACAGCTGTCCACGGTCCCTCAAAACCAGAACGGTCCGCATGGCAGGCCCTTGCATCGAGGTTCTCGTCTAAGGTCATTGGCGGCGCGTTCGTGCCGCGCAGTGTTGCGGACAAAAGCAGCTCAGAACGAAACCCAACCGTGTGCGCACCGGACAGAGCAACAATGTCCTTGTCAGTGAAGCCCTGCAGACTCAAAACAGAGAATGCAAAACACACAACATCGCGGAATGCAACTTATCGTTCTCTGTGCTTCGAGATGCAAGGGGGCTGTGAGGGTCTGTGGGGGGGGGCCTGCCTTAGGCCGGAAAATGTCACGAAGGTGCTGGGCATCTTTGTCGCCATCCTCACAAATCAAGCCACGGCATGCAACAACAGCAAACATGCCGCTCATGGGTGCCGAACTTGTGTGGCGGAACGATGCATTTTGTCTCGTGTTTTTTGCTAAGGGAGGGTGGGGGGAGTTATTGGCAAACTTGACTTGTGTGAGGGCTGGGGGAGGGGGAGGGGGAGGGGGGGGGGGCAAAGCTGAAGGAAGTGAATGAAAACTACCCAAGAAGATACTTCTTTTGCTTCTGTTTCTCTCCCTTCAGAGGATTCAATGAATCTAATGTTGATAACGGTAGTCTGGCTCATTGGGCCGGTTCTTGTGCTCACTTCCTTGTTCACGGTTTCCATGTTGGGTTCTTCAGATGACCCAGATGACCTCCAGACAAAAGTTAGCTTGTGGACGACCTTTCCAGCACTTAGAGACCTGTTTACCCATCTTGTCATGACCCATTTTCCCCAGGAAGCCATCACCTGTTGCTGGACCACTAAGAGCCTCATGAAGGCACAGATCTCTTCACGCCTGTGCCACATTCAAAAGCCTTATAAGCGTGCACTGAAAGCCGCCCTGTGCCATCACGAGTCTCATGTTACCCATCTTGTCATGACCCATTTTCCCCAGGAAGCCATCACCTGTTGCTGGACCACTAAGAGCCTCATGAAGGCACAGATGATCTCTTCACGCCTGTGCCACATTCAAAAGCCTTATAAGCGTGCACTGAAAGCCGCCCTGTGCCATCACGAGTCTCATGTTTACCGGTGATGGAGAAAAACCCTTGAAAACTTGAGAGGGGCTGGTCGCCAACAAAATCAGCGCTTAGATGCGTGGAGACAAATAGCTAATTGTGCCTTGTCCATAACATCCGGGTCTTGGCTACGACAGCCCTAGTCCTAGTATAACGGCATTAAACAAGGTGAGATCTCGCACCGATCACATGCACGCATCATGCCTATACACGCATACGCACGCAAACACACAGACGGACGGACGGACGGACGAACGGACAGACGGACCAACGGACAGACAGACAGACAGACAGACACACAGACACACAGACACACAGACACACAGACACACAGACACACAGACACACAGACACACAGACACACACACACACACACACACACACACACACACCCACCCGCCCACCCACCCACCCACCCACCCACCCGCTCAAACACACCACCAGTCTTCATGCAAAACATGATGTGCGGGGTTATCCGGTCCTTTACTTCTTTGATGATAGCTTCACCGCAACAGCAATACAAAGGCTACTCGCAATCGGTGTAGCATTAAAAAGGTGAAAATACTAACCATCATAAGGGCCACAAATATCAAGACAAGCAGCAAGAAAAGAGCAATCGCAGCAAGTGTAAAAGTACTTGTACTAGCACTCCTAAGAACAGGCATGGTCATAACACCGGTGACATATGAAGAGTCATAATAAGGAAATGGAAATACTAGCGACGAGAAAATCAAAGACACTGAAATTCTCGCTGTCGCGACTGCAAACTACGAAAGTACACACGAAGGCTTTACCGGATGACAACCCCTCTCTAACCACAACCTGCACCCGCACAGACTCGGTTCTCTGAGCTCTGGCTAGGTCTCGTGGTTTGAACAACTCAACAAACGAGGTGAAAGGCTATGTAAAGAAATTGAAATGTTTGTTACGAACCCTCCGGGGAGATGTGGACTTCATACGCTCGGAACTCGGAACTCCACCATATAACTCAAACAACTCGATTCCAAACTCGATTCCAAACTACCAACACTACAAACTCTACCATTGCTTCTTTTCATCTCAGTTTCTCTGAATCAAAGCGCAACAATTGTCACCAGATTACGTATAGCATAGCAATTGCAAACAACACGAATACTCTTCATAATAACAGTTGTAACAACAACAAATCACACAAAATCACGAATAATAATGGCAATCCTAGCAATAGAAGCAAAGTCAAAATGCGAACACTCATCACAAAAAGCACTAATCATAGTAAAAATCGCTACAGTAGTAACAAAAGGAAGCAGAAAGAAAAAACGCACGAATAGTAGCAGCAGCAACACTAGTAAAACCAGTACTACTAGCAGCACCGCAGCTGCTGCTGCTACTACTACCACTACCACTACCACTACCACTACTACTACTACTACTACTACTACTACTACTACTACTACTACTACAACTACTACTACGACGACTACGACGACTACGACGACTACGACGACTACGACGACTACGACGACTACGACGACTACGACGACTACGACGACTACGACGACTACGACTACGACGACTACGACGACAACTACTACTACTACTACTACTACTACTACTACTACTACTACTACCTACTAACCACCAACTACCAACTACCAACCACCAACTACCAACTACATACTACATACTACATACTACATACTGCATACTGCATACTGCATACTGCATACTACATACTACATACTACATACTACATACTACATACTACATACTACATACTACATACTACATACTACTACTACCTACCTACCTACCTACCTACCTACCTACCTACCTACCTACCTACCTACCTACCTCCTACCCTCCTACCTACTTACTACTACTGCTACTACTACTACTACTACTACTACTACTACTACTACTACCACCTACTTACTGCTACTACTACTACTACTACTACTACTACTACTACTACTACTACTACTACTACTACTACTACTACTACTACCACTACCCGCAGCACGTATGGTTTGCCCACCCCCGCATGGTCTGCCCAGGGTTTAGGGTTTAGGGTTGAGGGTTGAAACCGACGTTTTCGCACGTCGCAAGTCTCTAAACCAATAACGCGGTCAAACCACAAGTACTGGCCATCATGGTAGTGGTACTGGTAGCGGTAGTGGTAGTGGTAGCGGAAGTAGCAGCAGTGCAGTAGTAGTAGTAGTAGTAGTAGTAGTAGTAGTAGTAGTAGTAGTAGTAGTAGTAGTAGTAGTAGTAGTAATAGTAGTAGTAGTAGAAGTAATAGAAGTAGTAGAGAAGTAGTAGTACTCGGACAAGTCTCGTACCGCTAACATGGAAGGTGCATTCGCACAGGCCTTCCTTCGACAGCCAGGATGAGCCCCAGCTGTCCGCTGTCGACCACGAGGGGGCGTACCGGACGCTGCCTGTCCGGGACCCCGACGAGTGCGCGGTCCTTGTGCCTGATGGTGACCAGGCTCACTTGTGGATTCACAACAGTCTTCCGTTCGGAGCCACCTCCTCAGTTTGGGGTTACCTGCGGTTCGCAGATGTGCTGGCATTCTTGTCTGTGGCACTGCTCATGTTGTGCGCCACGCACTATGTCGACGATTTCTTCAACATCGAAGCTGCGGCAACCTCCCAACAGGCTTTCTGGGTGTTCCAGGAGTTTCACCGCATACTAGGGATGAAGATGAAGGAGGCTAAGGCCAAGCCACCCGCCCAGGTCAATACGCTGTTAGGGGTTTTGTGGGAGCGGCGCCAGGGAGTATTGTTCGCGCAGCCGGGGTCTAATAGAGCTCGCAAGGTGTGTGCCACCATCCAGCAGATTCTAGACGAGGGCCAGGTTTCGGCCGGGCAGTGTGCAAAATTGGCGGGCAAACTCCAGTTCGTGGGTTTTTGGCGGCGTGGGCCGTGCACTCCTCAGGCCGATTTATGCACGCCAACATGTTGGCCCGCCCGGTCGCTACGCACTGCAACCTCAGTTGCGGTTATCCCTTGAGCAACTCCTTCGCTTACTTCCCAGAATGAAGCCTGTTCGCTTCGACCTGCGCCCACAGGTCCGCAGCGTGCGCGTCGCAATCTTGTACTCGGATGCTTTCCTCACGGTTCACCAGAGCCGACACGCAGTGAGCCGCTGGCTCCAGGCATCCCTGCCCCTGCAAGCCCTTCAGCATTCCACGAATGGTTTTGGGTCGGTGTTCCTTGCGCCGGGGTTTAGGCCGGTTGGTTTTAGGGGTCAAGTTCCTCTGTCCGTGTTGGCACGTTCGTGCGCGTCCAAGGCCTTCATTTTCTGGTTGGAGGCTATTGCACAGGTAATCTCGACCGTTATTGTCGTTCGCCACGTGTGCAGCCACGTCGTGTGCTTCGTAGACAACTCAGCCGCAGAACACGCGTTGGTAAAGGGTTACACCAAAGACCCTGTCCTTTCTGCGTTCATTGGCCAGTTCTGGGTGTGGGCTGCTGAGGCTCAAATTAGCATCTCGTTCCATAGAGTGTCAAGTGCGGAGAACTTGTCCGATGCCATTTCCCGAGGGGAGCTGTCCGAGCTTCAGCAGATGCAGGGCCAGTTCAAAGAAGTGAGCTTCGTGAATACTGGCCGAGTTCGCAAAGGACGAAGCGGACCACGAGGTGTTGTTTGCATCGATGGTCGAGGACCTGTCGAGCCAGGTCGATTTGGTCGCGCTCGGAGATGGGTGAGCGGCGCGACGAGGTGGGTAAAGTTCGCGCCTGTTCGTCTCGAGCGCAAGACTCTTTGTCTGTACGGGACGTTCAGACGTTCGAGCGAAGCTCGACATTTTTCTCGCACCTTACAGCCGAGGGGAAGAGGCACAAAAGAGTGGCCTGTGCGAATGCACCTTCCATGTTAGCGGTACGAGACTTGTCGTGTTGAACACGTGTGTTCATAATGACAAGTCGAGTGTAGCAGTACATTTGAACGTTCGGCTATGAACGCTAGCAAGCGTTTGCCTCGAGTCCCAGATGCTTAGTTCGTTTTTGAAGCTTTCCCTCCTCTCCCACCCGGCTAACGAAAACGATCGGGTAAAGTTCGCGCCTGTTCGTCTCGAGCGCAAGACTCTTTGTCTGTACGGGACGTTCAGACGTTCGAGCGAAGCTCGACATTTTTCTCGCACCTTACAGCCGAGGGGAAGAGCCACCACGGACGGAGGGCCGGCGTATGGCAGGCAGTCCTGGACGAACACTGTGGCGTTGTGGAAACTGCGAAGCCAGTCGTCTGCCCTGCGAACCTTGGTAGTTCCTTCAGACTCTTGAACGACCG